TGCGCCTTAATGCCGGCCCTGGCAGCGGAGCGGGGTGCGGGAAACCCGCCTCGGGCAACGATTAAACGATGGGGCCGAAAGGACGTTTACTGCTTAAGCCCCTTAGCGGCGTTTCGTTTATGTGTTACTGTACAGTGGGAGCGTGAAGAGCTGGAGCTTGCTGGATAATGGTTTTCTTTATCGTTGGTTTATTACAGATTTTATTAAATTTTTTTCAAAATCAAACATAAATTCAGATGTTCTTTGTACTTGTGGCATGCAGTGCTCATAACTTTACACTTTTTGTGAGTTAAAATGCAAATTCAATGTGAAGAATGCCTCAGTTTACATTCACCCAAAAGAAGGGATGGGGGACTTTTGGCAAAGACTTGAGTAAGCCTGCCAGGTGTTTGGTGGACACCAGATGTTGGTGTTTATCTGATGATGTGGGAGGGGAAAAAGTCATCATAGCCAGCTGTGAGAAAAAGTTGTGGGCTTTATCTTACACCCAAGTTATAGAAAAATCTCTGTGGGTAGTGTACAAGGAAAATGAATTTGAGAAACTTTCTTGATCGAAAGTCTGAGTATCTTTTTATGGTTGAGTAGCTTTGAGGCCTTTCTTTTAAGACCCAACGAGTTAGAGAGGACAAAATAGTTACATACCTCTAAAAGCATAGATGTTGAGCCTTCTGTGTTAGCCTACTTGCTAAGGATGCTTTCTGGTCCCAGACTTTTCCATGAGATTTAGAGAACTAAACATTGTGTGAAGGTGAGAATCTCTTGCAATTTTTTTTATCCCAGTAACTCTGTAAGAGAATAAAATAATAGTGGCAGGAGTCACAGTAGTTTTCAGTGCAGACACCCAGCACCAGAAACTTCAATTTGTCCAGTACAAACCAAAAGATTTTTCTGTGGAGTTTTAGTACTTAAGTGCATTAGGATCACCTAGAAGTTGAGTTTGAAGGTGAAGGTTTTTTCTTCCACAGTACTCACAGTTGCTAACCTGTTAGGAAGTTGTTTATTGTTCTGTGCTTATGATGTTAAGATATGTAATTTCCCACTTTTTTTTGTCTTCCAGCAAGTATTCAGTCTATCAGAAAAAGCTTGGTCTGGTTCCCCTGTGCAGTTTGCTTGGCAGAAAACTTTGGGAAATTTCCTTGCTGTAACAGGGTAAGATTACAAATATTTATTACATTTGTCCATAGAAATCACTGATGAAGAAAGGGAATTATTCTATATGTTAATCTCTTTTAGAGGTGATCGTGCTGTGAAAATTTTTGATCGTCATGGTCAGAAGAGAAACGAAATCAGCTTACCAGGGTATGTACTAAGATGGGTTTAAATTATTTTCTTTGTTGTTTTCTTTAAAAACTCTTCTCTTCTGGTGAGGTGCTTATACAATGTGAGAACTTTGTAGGAAGAGATACTATCTCTGGTGAACATACCTGGAAAAGAAGACAAACTGATCAGCATGTATGGAATCTGAGACAGTAAAAGCTGAACTCACAGTAAGATATTGAGGATAGTCAGAAAAATGTGTTATACTCAAGGCACTCCTTATTGGAAATAAACTCAATCTACTTCATTAAAATGTTAGAGAAAAAATCTGTCATATTAAGAAAGAGCATAATGAGTTTGTATGCAATATATCCGCGTCATGCTGATTGCAACTGCACTCTTGCTACTCTCAGTTTTCTAGTAATTTGTTATCATAGCCTTACTGAGGAAAGATATCCTTTTGATTTAGTACTTATGCTTGTGTTGCTGGCATAATGCATACATTGGCATTTTTAATTTAGATTGAGAGTGTACTTCTGAAGTGAATCTCTGTTTTTTCTGCTTATCGCACTTTGATTCACATCAGAGAGTGGTGTTGGAGTGTACGAACTGGATTCCTTTCAGGTGAAATTTAAAAAGTAGTGTCCTTTGGAAGATGCAGTCTACCTGCTAAAAGCCAATCGTTCCATAGGAACAGGCTAGATATGGCCCAGAGGAAACCTCCCCAGGTGCAAACACTGTGACATCAGGTTGTCATACCATTTTGCTCTGTAAATCTAATTTTATTGGGCACCATTACTACTTGATGCAACAATAGTTTCATTTCTTTACTCTTCATTTCTTTTTAGTATTTTACCTGCTCTTCACTTAAGTATTCATGCAAATTCCTGATTTTTTATTTTACTTCTAACAAGCTGATTCGTTTTGGTTAAGGTGGAGCCTTTAGTCAAGGCAAAACTTCCATTAAGGCTTTAAATCTCAAGCTTCTAATCTGGAAGTCTAGCTTTCACTTCTAGAATGTCACTTACATGTGCCTATATCATTGGTAGATATGAACCAGAATCACTTAGCTCCCCAAGAACTCTCTAGAAATCCAGGTTTTGCAGTTCATGGTAGTTGCCATCATGTACCAAACCAAGAGACACAATTCTCATTGTCTTGACTAGACTCTCTTATGTCTTACTGACTGTCACATTTTACTGTCTTGTTTCAAAATCCCGTTCTGTTTAAGTGCCGTTCATAGCGTGGGCTGACTACGTCAGTGTCTTTTGCTTGTAGTATCCATGGCCCGGCTCGTTCTGTGCTGCATTTTGCACAATGTGTGATAAATACTCGTTCTTTCCAGCAAACTGCCAAAGGTGAGGAAGCTGTGCAGAATCAGTGGTGAACTCTGAGAAGACCTTGTGTTGGACTGGGGATCCTCTGCTGTCACGTGGGTCGGTGAGGGTGGTGTGAAGGGGAGTCTGTCTTACTGATGGGCACTGATGGCAGTGCCTTACTGATGTGACCCTTTCCTTCAGGGAAACATGTAGCATCTAAACCAGTTTTAAAATGGTATGTTCTCATGACAAGGCAAAGAGGAGAAAAAACTTGTATAATAAACACATATCCTAAAGGCTTGTCTAAATGATCAACATCTGCTGATGGTAGTTTGAATAGTACTGACTTTTTGAGGCCCACTAGCAAATCTTCTATCTAGATTAGGAAGTTCTTTTGAATTCTTATTTCCAACCTTTTCTTGCGATTGAAGAATAAATTCTCTCTAATTGTTGCTATTAGAATGAAACTCAATTTTTGTGATATACAGTTTAAACAGAAATAAATATGCTTACATGGAGGTTCTTCCCCTCAGGCCAAACTTTGCTTCTTTATTTGTTGGTTAACTGTTAACCAACTGCAATTGTTAACTGCTAGACCTCTCCTTGCATAAGAATGGAGTTCAGAATGTCAAATATTCTCTGCTGTAATAGTTCATGTTATAAGCTGCTTCTTACCATTATGTTGACAGAATTTATTTACTACTTACCAATCTGTGGTTTTCCCTGTTTTTTTTCTTTTTGTCCTTGTTGTTCCTGCTCTTAATGTTCTGGTTGGCTGTTAAGTATTCATGAGTGTGTTCTGGGAAGAGACCATCTTTATTCTCTAGAGTAAACTGCCAAGGTTTCAAAAAGAAAGACAGGAGAAACTGGAACTGAAGGCTTACTGAATTAGTTTACAGCACTGTTTGTTTCGGTAGGACATTTTTGAAATTGGTTGCTGTGTTGGGTTTGTGCGGTGGGGTAAAAACCTCCCTTTTGGGGAGGAACTAAAGGGCTGGCTCCTGTGAGAAGCTTCTAGAAGCTTCCTTGGCTCCAGGTCAGACCCATCTCTGACCAAGGCCAAGCCCATCAGCGACAGTGTTAGCACTTCTGGGATAACATATTTAAGAAGGGGTTAAAAAGAAAAACGAAAACAATGGGAGAACCTGCAACACAGAGAGGGGGGAGTTGTGGGCATCGCCCCTAGCCTCCTGTGTGAGCGGCTCGTCCACCTGAGGTCTGCCCTAGTCCACCGTCCCGTGCCTGGTGATGGGATGGCGGCTGCAGCGGCGTGACCGGGGTGCCTCGCAGGTCTGTGCATGGCCCCGGGCTGGGGAGTGGTTCCCCACAGCCTGGCGGCATCAGCCAAGGGCCTTCATCCCTCTGAATCGAGGCTCAGGCAGCGCTGCTGGAGAACCCAGTGGGCAGAGCTTGTCCCGCCGGGGCCACCAGAGTTTGTCAGGCTGGTCGGGTCCAGTGCGGCAGTGAGGAGGGAGGAGTGGGTTGTGGGAGAAACAGCTATGCGGATACCAAGGTCAGTGAAGATGGAGCGGGAGGAGGTGTGCCAGAGCTGAGATTCCCCGCCAGCTCGTGGAGATGAACGGTGGAGCAGAGACCCACCTGCAGCCCATGGAGGACCCCATGCTCCTGGAGCAGGTGGCTGCGCCCGAAGAAGGCCGTGACTCCATAGGAAGCCCATTATGGAGCAGTCTGTTCCTAAAGGGCTGCTCTCCATGGGAGGCACCCACGCTGGAGCAGTTTGTGAAGAGCTGCAGCTCATGGAAAGGACTCATGTTGGAGAAGTTTTTGAAGAACTGTCTCCCATGGGAAAGGACTCCATGCTGGAGCAGGGGAAGAGTGTGAGGAGTCCTTCCCCAGAGGAGGAAGGAGCGACAGAAACAACGTGTGACAATCTAACCGCAACCCCCATTCCCTGTGCCACTCAGGGGGAGGAGGTGGCAAACTTGGGAGCGAAGTTGAGCCTGGGAAGAAAAGGGAGGTGTGGGATGAAGGTGTTTAAGATCTGGCTTTGTTTCATGTTATCCTCTCTGATATGACTGGTAACAAATTAAATTGATTTTTCCCCAGGTCAAGTCATTTAACATTATTAGTGAAAGTTGTCTTTTTTTTCCTTCAGTAACTGTGTTGCTATGGACTGGGATAAGGATGGAGATACTTTAGCAATAATCACAGACAAATCAAGTGCCATATTTCTGTGGGATGCGAACACAAACAAAACAAGCCAAGTAGACAGTGGCATGAGGTAAGGAAGTTTTTTTTTGAAGTGTGTTTGAAGACTTGGACCACTGTGGCTTGTTGATGTGGAGGATATATTGCAAAGATCATCTTTCTATTGGAGGCCTAATAGCGCATTTACTGTTAAACTCATATGCTACAGTGTGTTGCTAAATTCTTTTGGTACGATTTGCTGGTTTTGAAGCCTTTCTTGTGGGTGGGGGTTTGGGGATTGGTAGGGGTTTTTTTTCTTTTTTAATTGTCAACTGTGCGAAGGTCCCCAGAGAGCTTCTCTTCAATGTTTCCACTTCGTGGTAGTAACAAGGTTGGGTGAATTTTTTGTGTTTCTTCACTGGCTCCACTTTCTCCAAAGTATTTCACACAAGTAGAAGGGAGCTTACAAGTAACGTAAGTGATTTTAGTGGTGCTGGGATTTTTTTCCCCGGGACACAAAGCAGACTGGTTTAGGATGGGAGGAGACATCCAAGGTGATCCTGCTCTAAGGTTCAAATCTCTACCTTTCTGAATTTGGCCACAGACTTGGAACTCTCCTGAGACCTACACAACAATCAAGCATTGAGTTAACAAATAAGCTTGGTTTAACAATTAAACTTTTAGCTGCTTTGAATCTATTGCACTGAACTATTGCACTCTACGTAAACATTCTGTGTATAGGAAAGAGAGTGGAAACGAATCTGTCCCTTGTTTGTCAGGGCACTTGCCTGAGCAGAAAAACAGCTAATTTTGGATGCTGCTGCTATTTTATTTACTTGGATTGAGACAAACACTCCTTCTGATTTAACCCTTCATTTCTAAATTTCCTTTGTGTATGTTTTGGGTGTATTTTGGTGTTGGTTGTTGTTGTGTTTTGTTTTTTTTTCCCAAGTAATCAAAGATACCAGAATTAAAGTGTTTTATCCATTAAATAAAAAAATTCAGTTCAGCTGGAAAAATTGGGGGGGTGGAGGTTACGTTGGTTTCTATGAGGGTGGTTTTTTTCCAGATTTAGGTTGAAAACTCCGAGTCTGTAATATGGAAATATTCCATATTTCCATTAACATGTACACTTATGCTTTGTAAAGTTCATTTTGAATATCGGATATTTGATTATGGGATATTTGGGGATATTCTTCTCTCTAAACTAGAGAGGCATGGGTTTGATGGATGGACCACTCGGTGGATAAGGAATTGGCTCAATGGCCGTACTCAGAGAGTAGTGGTCAACGGCTCGATGTCCATGTGGAGACCGGTCACGAGTGGCGTCCCTCAGGGGTCCGTGTTGGGCCCGGCCCTCTTCAACATCTTTGTCGGTGACGTGGACAGTGGCATGGAGTGCACCCTCAGCAAGTTCGCCGATGACACCAAGCTGTGTGGTGCCGTCGACACGCTGGAAGGGAGGGATGCCATCCAGAGGGACCTCGACAGGCTGGAGAGGTGGGCCCGTACCAACCTCATGAAGTTTAACCAGGCCAAGTGCAAGGTCCTACATCTGGGTCATGGCAATCCCAGGCACAAATACAGACTGGGCGGAGAATGGATCGTGAGCAGCCCTGAGGAGAAGGACTTGGGAGTACTGGTGGACGAGAAGCTCAATATGAGCCGGCAATGTGCTCTTGCGGCCCAGAAGGCCAACCGCGTCCTGGGCTGCATCAAGAGGAGCGTGGCCAGCAGGTCAAGGGAGGTGATTCTCCCCCTCTACTCTGCCCTCGTGAGACCTCACTTGGAGTATTGCGTCCAGTTCTGGAGTCCCCAACATAAGAAGGACATGGACCAGTTGGAGAGGGTCCAGAGGAGGGCCACGAAGATGATAAGAGGGCTGGAGCACCTTTCCTATGAGAAGGAAAGAAGAAGGCTGAAAGAGTTGGGGCTGTTCAGCCTGGAGAAGAGGAGGCTCCGGGGTGACCTTATAGCGGTCTTCCAGTACCTCAAGGGGGCCTACAAGAAAGATGGGGAGAGGCTGTTCAAGAGGGCCAGTTGTGACAGGACAAGGGGTAATGGTTTTAAAATAGAGGGAGGTAGATTCAGGTTGGATATTAGGAAAAAATTTTTTACCATGAGAGTTGTAGAACACTGGAACAGGTTGCCCAGAGAGGTGGTGGATGCTCCATCCCTGGAGACGTTCAAGGCCCGGTTGGATGAGGCCCTGAGCAACCTGATCTAGTTGGAGATATCCCTGTTCCTTGCAGGGGGGTTGGACTAGATGACCTTTGAAGGTCCCTTCCAGCCCTAACCATTCTATGATTCTATGATTCTATGATTTCCATATGTTACAGCCTGGTACCCTGTATGTGTATGCTGAAAATGAACTTGAACTGTACTGAAACAAAAAATAACTTCTATGCAAGTTTTTCCACTCCTGAAAAAGTAAAAGAATTGCCACTTTGCACAAAATACTCTGTGACTTAACCTATACACAATTTAAGTTATGTTTTGGATATTGTTGGTTGGTAGGATGTTGTCACACAGTAGAAAACAATTTCAGAACAAGCAAATGATTGTACATACAAATGAGAAATGTAAAATGATTACTTCTTCCTACTGTCTAATTAATTATATATTATTTAGGTATTTATGGATTGCTCAGTTACATTTTTGTCATTATTTGTTAGTTATTCCATATTATCAACAATATGCCTTTTAAGCACAAATGTTATAATGATTATTGTTTATAATCTTCTTTTCTGGTGGAATACATCAACTTTGGCATTAAAAAAATATATTTTTGGTGAAATTTTCCCAAGTCGAGGTTTGGGTTTTTTTGATAGGTCAGTTTTAAACTATAGCTATTTATATAAAGATGTATACACGTGTTATATTGTGTAAAGGAATAAACCATATTGTACCTCCTTTTCATGTGTGGACACATATTTTGGGGGAAAGTGTAACTTGCCAGTATGCAAGCAAACAAGAGCATAGAAGGTACTTTCCAGAATGGACTATGTGGTTATTGCAGTTCCTTCATGATCCTTCTCGTAGCTGAGGTAAATCGCTTACTGGGGCAGCCTTGTTAGAACAGTATATACCAATTTAAGTGCCTGATCCTTTTCTTGTCACAGTGTTATTGCTTAAGCAGAATCAGCACTAAGACGTATCAACGGTGTGATAATCAGGCTTTTCTAGTATCGTCCTCTTTTGAAATTAGAAAAGCACAAACAAAACTCCTCACATGCAAACCAGATATATATTGAAGGTCATTTTATGTGTCAATTAATATCTGAAATTTGTTTTGAATTTCTATTGCATGCTTACAGTAAAATTTAAAAAGATAGGAAAGGCATTGATGGAAGTAACTGCGCTAATTAGAAAATTCTGATTAAAATTGTTTTGCTTAAGAGGTTTTTTTTAAAAAAAAAAGCGGTGTATAGTATTAATCCGTGTACCCTTAAACATACACCAAAGTAGGCCTTGCTGTATCTGAGACTTCAATTTAAAATGGCTCTTTCTAACTTTCTTATGGCATTGACTATTCACTTGGAGTTGACTGAATTCATAGGATTACTGGAGTACAAAAGAACAATGCAGACAGTGACTGGAAAATTTCCCTTACCTTCATGGTATCTTTGAGTGTTTTTTAAAGCTACGTATTTGACTAAATTACCCATGATTCAGTCAAAGACTGTTGATATTTGCAGACACATTTCCATTTGTACAAGTCTTATTACATTACCTTGTACAGCTTTTTATTACTTTCACTATTTCATGCTGACTTAAATAATTCTGATACTTGTAGAGAACGTGCCTAATTTAAAAATTCTGCTTGGCCTGGGTGATTTCACAGAACTTCAAAACAAATATGCAAAATGTTTTTATATGTAAGCACATGAAAGGAATCTGTACTATACGAAGTAAAATTTTTCTTTATTTTAGGGATGCTATGTCTGTCTTACTATGGTCTCGAGTTGGAACTTTACTTGCTGTTGGAACAGCGAAGGGAAATTTACTTATATATAACCGTGAGACTTCTCGCAAGATTCCTGTTCTTGGTATGCATCGGTTTGAAACTAAGCTTGCACATGTGAAAGTGGAATTTCACTAATATGCTTATGTGCTAGTTTTGGCTGAGATCGAGTTAATTTTCTTCATAGTGGCTAGTATGGGGCTGTGTGTTAGATTTCTGTTGGAAACAGTGCTGGTAATTCAGGGATGTTTTCGCTACTGCTGAGCAGTGCTTGCACAGAGTCAAGGCCTTTTCTGCTTCTCACACCACCCCACCAGTGGGTAGGCTGGGGGTGCACAAGAAGTTGGGAGGGGACAACTGGGACAGCTGACCCCAACTGACCAAAGGGATATCCCATACCATATAATGCCATGCTCAACACATAAAGGTGGGGGAAGAAGAAAAGAGGGGACGTTCAGAGTGATGGCATTTGTCTTCCAAGTAACTGTTACGCATGATGGAGCCCTGCTTTCCTGGGCATGGCTGAACACCTGCCTGTCAACAGGGAGTAGTGATTGAATTCCTTGTTTTGCTTTGCTCACATGTGTGGCTTTTGCTTTACTTATAAAACCGTCTTTATCTCAACCCACAAGTTTTCTCACATTTACTCTTACAATTCTTTCCCCTGTCCCACTGGGGAGGAGTGAGCAAGCAGCTGCATGGTGCTTCGTTGCCGGCAGGGGTTAAACCACAACAACTTCGATTCATTTTTAGCTCTGTACGTGAACATGCAAGCCAAAAATGTGCTCATACCCAACTTGCACCTTCTGTTTTGTTGTACTTAACGGAGTATTTTGATAGTATAATAAGTTAAAAATGTATATACACATACCTGATACTGCCTCATGGGAAACTTTTATTATCTTTCTTGCAAAGAATTTGTGTGGTGATTCTTGTTGCTAAGTTACTTTTTCTTAACTGCTTAGAGTACTTTTAGGCAGAAAGGTTTAAGGATATAGCACAGTACGCAGAAATTTGATGCGAAGAAATGGAAGAATAGGGGCTGTGCAAGTTCCTATAAGGCTAAAAGACTTCCATCTGGAAGTAGAAGATTTTAAAAAAAAAATTACTCTTGAATTTGTAATTGTTCTGATAAGTTGTTACCTTCTGACAGTCTGTGTTTGAGTGGACAAACAGAGCCTATTTCCATCCCAGATGTTTGTTGTGGTTGTGTTCATTTGTGTTGTATAGGTTTCTTTGTTTTTCAGGTAAGCACACTAAGCGGATTACTTGTGGTTGTTGGAGTACTGAAAACCTTCTGGCTCTAGGCGGTGAAGACAAAATGATTACTATAAGCAATCAGGACGGGGACACTATAAGACAGGTAGTATTCATAACCCCTGTTTGATTTTGAGGCATACATTAATACTTCTGGTTCCTGAGAAAGCTGAGACCTATGGGAGCTTATGCCTTTTCTGTCTCTCTGCTTTCAAGGACAAGGAGCCTTTGGGAAACTTCATGTAGGATGAGGGCATATCTAAACATCTGAGCCTCTGTGTTATGCAGCATGATTTATGATGTTAGAGTCTCTGCAATTCTGCTGTGGTCCTGCCTAAACATGCTTCTCATCCTCAATCCTTGATGTGTATCTGTTACAAGAGGATCCTATGAGTGCAGCCGTAGGTTGACTTCTGCAGTAGCAGCACAGGACAGCTCTCACATGACTATGTATAAGGTCTTTAGGAAGTACTTTTAGTGTTGGTTTTGCTTTAGATTGGTTAGACAAAGATCTTGCCTCTGATGTGCAAGGATTACTCCTATGCTGGACCTCTGTTGCGTTGTTGAGAAGCTGATTCCAGTGCTTTCTCCAAGTACACTTGGATTCTCTAATCAAGCATTCCGTTTGTTTACATAGATCACAGTCCTTCTAAGCAATAACAATTGCTGCATAATGTGCAAATGAATATAATTCACTTTTTTAACTTTAATGAATAGCATTTCACTCAAGGTTTTCAAAGAACAAATCTTTCATAGTTCATCTCATATGCTTCCATCTTTATGTCTGAAGATTACAATTGGAAAAGAATAAATTTATTGGAGTATGTCTGTGCTTTAAACTAGCTGGCTTAGATATGAGAAGCAGTGTAGCTTATGAGGTTTTGTAACCTCATATTGACTACAACAGCAACTAGATTACTATCACTACCTAAACTAGATCAGGTATGTCCATATTAAAATGCACTGTAAATATTTCACCTATATGCCTTATACTTGGTCTTCCTTCTTTGAATTTGCATTGGAGTGACCTTGTTTGTACTGCTTCAGTTAGTACTGGCCATATAATACCATCTTGCAAGTCTTCTTCCTGACCTGGATCTTTCCTCCTCTATTTGGATTTGTATTTCTGGCTGTTTCCTAGATATTTTTTCAGTATATTCCATGATAACATGTCATTATGATCCAAAATGAGGTCATGTTTTCTCCAACTTTTTTCTTAGTTTTGGTACTAAATGCAATAAGAATTCTATCTATCCTTAACACTTAAACATACAGGATGGGAATAATGCAATTATTTATTGTCAGTATTTGCTACATTAACTGTTGACTTCTCAACCTGAACTTCTTTCTTGCAGACTTCAGTGAGCTCAGATCCCAGTGATATGCAGTTCTCAGTTATGAAGACTGATGAAAGAATATCAACCAGGGAAAGCACAGTAAGAAGTCAATAAAAAATATTGCAAAAAGCGTTATCTGATGTTTCAGGGTTTCTGCTGGCAACCAGTATGGGCCAGGAAGCAATTTGTTCCTCCTCGACTTAAAATTTGGTGTTGAAGATGTATGTTTTTTCTTTTCCAAAACTTTCCTTTAAAGTAAAGCCATACCCCTTTGTTCATGAAGGATGTGTTCATGAAAAGTGCAGTGGTTAGCAATATGGCAGATAACAGGTCAGTTTTGCAGTGGTAGTTGACTTAATACATGGAGATATGTGCAGGGACTTAAAGAAATACACACAATATAAATATAGAACAGTATATGCAATGTGGCAGATGGAAACGGAGCAGGATTATCAAAATTGCAGAGATGCTTTCTTTCAGAGGGCAGATTTTTTCAGCTGTCAATTTTGGGAACAGATACTACTCTCGAGGTTTTCATTTTATGCAAACCTCAGCATCAATGAGACTAAAAGCCCCAGTGTCAATCTTCCGGTGTGAGCATTACCCTATCTCTTTCTAAATGGCTGCAGTTTCATTGTCTTCAACATTTTTCTGGATTGAATCAAAGTCCATCAGATTAGTCAATGATGAAGTACAGAAAAATGGGGTAATGATAACTATTAGCAGAACGTATAATTAAATGGTCAGCAATGAAATACCGAGGCAAGACATAGACAATCCATGGATCGAAAGGTGGTACTGTGTCAGAATTTGTCCAGATCAATAATACACTTATACAACATAATTAAATTCTCAGGGTCAGATTTAATCTGTGGAATATAGGTCTCAAGAAATAGTTTTCCCCATGTTTATGTTGACAAGGACCTGCAGGAATTTTTTGCCTCTCTGCATGGAGTGAAATGTTTTCTGCTTCCTATGGAAATTTAATTAACAGATATTTTGAAAATGCAGAAACTAAGGACTTCAGCCTTGATTTCTGCTGCTGCTTCCTGGGGCATGCAGTAGCCTAGGCTTCGCAGGGTTTTTATTATAGCTCTCAAGTTTGCTGTAAAATGTTTAGGAATGTTTTGTAATTCTGCACTTTTTGGTATTTGTGCTTGGATGATCTGTCAGCAGCTCTAAACCACATAGCATTTATTGTCTAGGTGTCTGTGTTGTTGGGGGAGAGGCTTGGCTTGATAATGATCACTTCCAGGCTGTTAATATGACATAAGGAAAAAAAAAACCCTGCAAATTCATAGATTCATAGATTTCTAGGTTGGAAAAGACCTTAGAGATCATCGAGTCCAACCATCCCTAATCCCCATTAAACCATATCCTCAAGTAGCTCATCCACCCTATTCTTAAACACATCCAGGGATGGGGACTCAACCACCTCCCTGGGCAGCCTAATTTGGGCTGAAATAAGTAGTACTAGAGTTAACATCTTGCCCTGCAATGTAAAATAGTTCCTGTAATTTCTTAGAAGGGTTTAAGAAATAGTATTTCTTAAATACTTCATCACTAAGCTGCAATGAAATTATAAGCAAACTGTTTTAAAAGTCAGAAAACATACTTTTTTTATTAGGGGTAAATGTAGACATTATAGGTTAGAATTTAAGTTTGTAATTCTGGATTAATGGATTTAATAATGCCTTTTTTCCTCAGTTCGAATATACCAGCTTTGTATTTCATTCTTCCAGCTCTAATTTTAGGAATAAACTGTTGTCTGCTTTTTAGACAAGGAGAGCTGGAGCAGAAGGTGATGTAAAGTAAACTCGTAAATAGTCCTTCAAAGTATCTTTGTCAAAGAATAAGGTGAAACAAGCTGTTCCTCCTTGCTTTTTCTAAAATTAGTGTTTTACTCTTGCCTGACAATAATACGCACTGTAGTAACAAAAATAATTTAAAAAAAATCCACCCAAGTTCATCCTGTCTTCCACTATGAAGTCCAGCATCTCTATGGGATTCGTCAACTAAATGCACTCACCTAGACTGATACCAAAGTGTAAATATTGCATGTTTAATACACACTGAACAGGCTGTTTCTTTTGGAATTGTCTTTCTATCTTTGAAACCTCAGCAAGTTACTTGAGATAGCAATGTTGTGATAGTCTTCCCTTCAACCTCCCAGATAAAAATTCTGTGGATCAAAAAACACATCATAGTTCAAGTGAGTGTATTCCAACAGGAGAACTCCATGTGACTTGCAGCATTTTCCTCTGAGGAAATGGAGCTGACTTAATGCTTCTGTAGAGAAAAGTCTTGAATTTGAGATGTGTGTTCTGCTGGGCTTGCATTTAGGTCTGTGAACCACTGACTCACAAGAGGAATATCCTGCAAATCTCTTCCACTGTTGGTAAAGATTTGGAATTCAGATCCATGGGATTCTTAAGGATTATTGAAAGTCCTAAATCTCGTCTTTTAGTGAAGATATAGGGCCTTGTTTTAAAGTGATGCCATTCTTACCAAGTTAATTTTTCTTTTCATTCATTGGCAGGTAAGTGTAGTGGTCGGCAAGAAGACTCTCTTTCTTTTTAATTTGAATGATCCTGATAACCCGATTGATCTGAAATTTCAGCAGCCTTATGGCAGTATTGTAACCTACAGATGGTGAGCAGAACTCTCTTAATGAAGCATTCTAGTATTAGCAAGCTGAAGATTTTCCCGGTAGTTCTGATAAATGCTGGAAGTGAAATCACATATCCCTTGCTTATGCTGGATTTTTCTTGGATGTATTGTAGCCTTTTTAATAATTCTTTTCCAAACACAAAGAAGTCTACATTTTGTAATTATTTTACTTGAAAATTCAATGGCTATAAAAGCCGTATTTTCAAATATAATCATTGTTGCTATGCCTAGCTTTAGAACACTAATACTGTTGTTGTCCTGACAGTAGATTGAACTGAGGGCTTTATAGGTTGTTTTCTGTTTGGATGAGTAACTAACGAAAAAAATAGGGATGGAGTTGAATCCTTCATCTACTTTGTTGGTTTGCAAAGTTGTGCAAAGTTCTTGTAGCCTCCTTACTATGTAATCCAATTGATAATGTTCCTTTGAAGAAATCCCAAGCTTGAAGTTTCAGCTCGGCACCCAAAAAGTAGCTGTACTATCTTTGAATCATGACACTGTGTCTTCTAATGCCTGTTCAGTCAACATGGAATTTACATTTATCCCTTTACACTACAACTGTGTAAGAAAACCTGTAGCTATATGCTGATTAATTTATGGCCACACGTCTAACAAGACATAACTTGGGCTGTTTCTCTTTCAATGATTTTTTTGCAACTAAGCTGATGAGATGTTGTTTGAATTCACCCTTACACGTTGTAACTATTTCTGCCTTGGCCTCATTATTTCTACTTGACATATGAAAAGTGAACAGACTATCTGTTCACAAATACAGATTATAGCTTTGGTACTTCCACTGTGCTTGCAGTAGTATGCCTTAAGGGCACAGTGACTGGCAGCATTATTTTTAGCATAGCTTTGATGAGACCAAGTCAGCCAGAGCCTTGGAATGGAAGTTTCCGTCTTCTGGCATGCTTATGCCAACGAAGATACCAGAGGTCTTTGAGCTGGCATCACTGCCATGTATGCAGCAGAAAGTAAAGTGGCATTATAGAATGTAGAAGAGAGAATAAAGACAACTTACGAGTGAACTCTGAGCACAAATATGGTTTTGTCCTTTAAGAATCTTTGGTTGTTTTTCCCTTAATCTGTTTTATACTCTATTGTTCTTTGTTATATATATAAACTCCCATAATTTGATTGTTTTTCCTGCTAAAAGGACACATCGACAGTTACCCCAGTAGTCTAAAAGAAAATGCATATTGCATAAATAGATCTCTTAATCGTTGCTTTTTTTGTAACAGGTATGGTGATGGCTACATTATGATTGGTTTCTCACGAGGTTGTTTCGTAGTCATTTCTACACACATTCGTGAGATAGGTCAAGAAATCTTTCAAGCCCATAATCATAAGGATAATCTAAGCAGCATTGCTATATCACAGTCATTAAACAAAGCTGCATCATGTGGAGACAATTGGTAAGTGGTAGTTTGATACATAAAGAATGGAATTCATCTCATAACTGCAGCTGTTGGGCATTAAAGCTGGGCTCCCTAAGAAACCAGTACAGAGAAGGTGAGATGAATTGCTCTGTGGAACTGCCTCTCTGCCTAAAGTTAGGAGAAGCTAATTTTGACCAAAATCTCTGCAATTGGAATTAACTTTATTGTAATTAATTGTAAACAAAAAAAAAATTAAACTTTAGTATAATTATTCCTTTTGATTCTTTCTTTTTTTACTATGTTACTTGGCTACAAAAATGTCCAAATTTCTTTACTGTTGATTGGACACAAACGTCTGCTTAGCAATAGGAGAACAATTCATTTAAAGCTGTGCTGAGTATGCTGATATCCTGATATCCTCCTTCCTGATGTTTGGTCTTACCTGCAGTCTAGACAAAAGTATAAATGGGTCAGCAACTAAGGAAAAAAAGTAGTTAAAGAGACTGAAGTTTTTCCAAAATATGTTGTGCATATGGTAGAGTACCTCCTTTAGCATCTCGTCTGCTACTCCCTGATTCTGTGATACCTGAATTCTTCAGCAAGAAAGGAGCTGAGTGGTGGTGGGAGTCAGACCATTCTGTCTGTCCTCAGTTCTGCATGTGACCTTAACACTGCTGGTTTATGATGCTTGCACATCAAGGGTGGCATGACTATGAGCAAAACATGGTGCAACTTCAAGCACTTCAGCGATTGTACAATAAGTATTATTTCTTTAAGGAGTTTTTTAGCATATATTAAGTAACATAACAGTATAAGTAAACTCTCACTCTCTGTCCCTTTTTATGTGAAGCAGGATTGAAAGCTGGTTTCTTGCACCTGTGTTTCAAGCAGTGTTTGTCCATCAGGAATGTGTTTTTAACCTACCCTGTATTGTAACAGGTCAAAAGGGAATAATAGTGTGTGTTTCCCACCCTTGAGTTCTTTCGAACTGTATTTGTGCCTTTTCATAGAATTTTAGTTCTCTGAGCAAATCTTTTTGTACAGTGATAGTGCTGAACTCTTTAGAGTGATAGATAACAATGACTGTGTCTTGCTCTTTAGGAAACAGAAGGCATTTTGCATTTGCACTGTTTTTTTCTCTATTAGGCTGTCTTGATAGGATTGAGTTTCTTCCAGTTTATGATGAGTGAGATTTGTAGTATTGAGAATGACTGTTTATTTTTGTTTTAGCATTAAAATCCATGATCTGTCAGACTTGAGAGAAATGTATGCCATAATAAACTTGGATGATGAAAACAAAGGTATGTTAACAGTCTCCATGAGGGTAGAAATTTTTGCAAAATAAGTAAAACAATTTTGATGGTGGCTGTTTACATCAGTGTAAGAACTGTTGTGGAAGAACTGTGTAAATACGGAGTTTATCATAAATTATTTCCTAACTTGTATTTATTAGGTGACACATAGCAAAATAGGAACATACCTTATTTTATCTGTTCAAAGTATAGAGAAGTACAGCTCTCAGAATATTTATCAGTTAGTGTTTTGGTTTTTCGAATCTGTAATACAGTATATTCAGATTACTAAAATAATATACTTAACTTTCTGCTTCTTTCCGTTTTTTTTTTTTTTTTTTGTGGGTTTTCTTGTGCTTTTCAGCATCTCTTGTACTGACATACGATACTTAATCTGTTCTCATCCTGATACACAGGATTTGTGCCCATGGTTTCCAGAATATTGTTACAAGGCTATGTTCTTGTGTAATGAGTTACTACCATTATTTCCTCTTGTAATGTCTAAATACTTCAGTTGTTGTCAGGTCTTCACTCTGAGGAAAATGCTTAATTAGTAAATTATGGGCTTGGTTTGAGTGATTCCAGTTAATCTTGAAATTATATTAATTGATTATGTTTGAGTATATTAGTACATATATTCCTAGGTATGAATTCCTACCATTTTCACATTTTAAAGGAAAAGAATTGTTTCTTGATTTCACTAGTTAAAGAAAGGATTTTTTTTTTTTTTTTTTTTTTTTGCAAAAACTTGTGAATGTTGTAGGTGTAGATCAGCTGGCTTGGACAGATGATGGACAGTTGTTGGCAGTATCTACACGAAGAGGATCTCTCCATGTTTTCTTGACAAAACTTCCAGTCCTTGGAGATGCTTGCAGTACACGGATTGCGTACCTCACTTCTCTTCTTGAAGTTACTGTAGCAAATCACGTGGAGAGAGTATGATAACCTCTTACTTTTAAACTTCATTTAGATGTAAGTAAAGTAAGTATTAATAGTGGATGAAAATGGGTTTATTTTGTTTTGTTTTCTTACAGGAGCTACCAGTCACAGTCTCTGTTGAAGTAGAGCCCAGTTTTGTTGCTATTGGTGTTTATCATTTGGCTGTAGGAATGAACAATCGGGCTTGGTTTTATGCACTTGGAGAGAATAGTAAGCATAAATTTAGTTCTTTTAAAACTACTGCATCGTTGTGTCTTATTTAGTGAATTCAGTATTGTGTTCAGCAGTTCTGGACTTTTCATGTTGTACAATAACAACTTGAATTGCCATGTGGTCCTCTTAGGGCTGAATGATGATCTTCACAAACTGAGGCGATTTTGACAAGGCATTATAAACAGTAGAAATAAAACTTAAGGTTCAAGGTATTGATATTGAAATGTAGAATGTTTCTTTTCTTTTTTTTTTTTTTAGATCATATTGTTAACCAGTGAAGGACTTTGAGGCTTTTGAGATGTTGTTTGACCATGTCTTTAAATACTAAGTTTGGCAAAGTACCTAGGGACTATGTGATCAGAGGGTTTAAATTCTCGGTCTGATAGATGTTCATGTTGTTTGCATGGGGTAAGGTAAAATTGATTGCACTATGTCCAAATTTTAGACAGCGGGTTTAAAGCTTTTATGTCTCTCTAAGCATCACCTTTTTTGACTAATAATAAACTAATCAAAACTGTAAGATTATTAGTCAGAGTTGCATAGGAAGAGTTTCTCTTGTACTTTCTAACCAGTTCTCTGACTGCTAAGAAGAAAGTCTCTTTACGTGTGACTTGTCCCTTCTCTGCTCAGTTATGAGTTTTTCACATCTGGTTACTCAGCTGCAAATTTAGATGATGATAAGTGAAGACCTATACAAAATCACAATATTTTTACCTTTTCTGTTTGAATTCTTTAGATATAAAAAAGCTTAAAGATGTGGAGTACCTGGGGACAGTAGCAAGTGTGCACCTTAATTCCGATTATGCTGCTGCTCTCTTTGAGGGTAAAGTCCAGTTGCATATGGTAAGAACTCTGGCAATTTAGAGGGCTGAACTAATGAGTTCAGCTGAAGTAATGAACTAAATGAATGAATGATGAACTAATAATGAACTAAAGAACTAATCTAATCTGAACAAGTTAATTTAATTTTTGAAATGAAAGAAAATGGAGTGATCTTCAGTTAATGGAGATAAAAATCTAAAATTCTTTAGAGTTTTTTTGGTAATTAAAATATAAAGCAGAGTTCCTGTAGAGTTCAGAAATACAACCTAGTTTAGAACAGGTGAATAAAAAGTGTGTTGTTGTGAACTATTTAACAAGTTTTATTTTGAAAGTTTCTGTGGGAATGTGACAGAAGCAGATGTTGGGTTTTTTAGGGATAGATGCACATGCAAGTTCGTTTTCATCTCATTTCCTTACAGTTTGATACAGGCAAAACTATGATACATCATTGTTAAGAGTGGAGTTTTTCAGTTCTTTCTATTCTTTATATTTAGATAGAAAATGAAGGTTTGGATGCACAGGAAGAACGAGAAACTCGCCTCTTCCCAGCAGATGATGATAAATACCGAATTTTGTGCCATGCTTTAACTAGTGACTTCCTCTTATATGGTACAGATGTGAGTATTACTTCTGCTTTTAAAGATCTTTTTAGATGGAATACATTTCTATCTGAATTATTTGAATTAATAGTCATGCTTTTAGCAAAAAAAATTGTCCGAGAAGTTTACAGAAGTTTGTAGGATTATTTTCTGTGCAAGAACTTTATAGAAATTTAAATATACAGCTGAAATTGCATCCAACTTCCTTTACTGTTGCATTTATATGAGATGCATTGGCAGGAAGGTTGCTTTGCTTTTATTAGTGTTTGTTGCAAAACACTGGTTTTAATAGGAGAATTTAATTCTATTGCATTAGTGAGAGGGTTGGTAAACAAACTGTCTTCCAGATATAGGTCTTGACTTAGTATTGAAGCCTTTGCCCAAAGAGAATTATTTCAGATGTTTCAACAAAGACAGGAATTAAGAGGGCACTGAAGAAGGATGTGAACATGCTCATGGATTTTTCCAGAGATTTTCCTATTCATGAGGGGTAGTTTTCTTTTAGTATTTTCTGGCACTGGAAATACAGGGCACATTTGGCATTGTACTATTGTACTCTTTGTTACACAAACTGATGTATTGACCTTCCAGAGGAAAGGCAGAATCGCTATCTCTGGTGTTAACACTGGTTTAATAACTTTGAGTGGTTTTGCAGGAGTTGAGGGCTTTCCTACCTCTTCAGTACCTAAACCAGTACTGATAAATTTGAAGTACTAAATTCACAACTGATCATTTTGATACACAAATTTTACAATTGACTTCAAAAGCTGCCTTTTATTTTTAGTGTTCTTCTTTGAGCAACACTGATCGAAATTTAGCATTAATCACAAATGACTTCGATTGCTTTTCTCTCTCGAATTAGGTACATCTGTTTGTAAGAATGTGCCACTCTTCCTTGGCGGCAAATTTTTCAGCTCTGTTTGAAGGTTAAGCTTCTCTCAGAAATGAGGCAGGCATTTCCCCTGTTTAGAGAACTGCACAGTAAATACAGCTTATCTCCACAAAGCAGAGTGAGATAAACAACAAAAACCGACAGAAAACCCCTCAAACCTCGAACTCCTTTCCCTCCGCGCCAAAAAGCCTCAAGTTTTCGTGTCCTGCCCCAAACCAGATGTGAATGAAGAAGGAAGCCAAAAAAACACCTGGAAGTATTTTTCTTTAAACACTCTTCATGCTGAGCACTCTACGATGGAGAAACTACAACCAAGTTAATTATATACTTGCCACTTACTGATGTTATTTAGCTTTTTCTGTTATTTTTCATTAGACTGGAGTTATTCATTATTTCTACATTGAAGACTGGCAATATGTGAATGAATATCGGCATCCTGTCAGTGTGAGAAAAATTTTTCCAGATCCCAATGGAACCAGATTGGCTTTCATAGATGACAAAAGTGATGGCTTTGTCTATTGTCCAGTAAGTTACTGTGAGATATTCATGCAATTATATTTACAAGCAGATTTTCAACTATATAGTGTTTTTAATAGAGAATTAAGAAGCTTTTGTCAATCCAATATGTATACTGGTAGAAGAAATTGCCAAGGAGGCTTGCAGATAACTTAATGATTATGTAAGGAAATAAAATCTGTTGTATTAGATCAGGACAATTTCATTATACTAAATTCCTGATCATTAATTTTCAGAAATTTATATGTTTGTGTATTTAAATACAGATATTTCAGCACGTTGGCAAGCACTGCTAGTTTCACTGCTTGTCCCCATACCTTTTCTCTAAAAAAAGTAAATAACATTATATAATGTTCATTTTCTCCATTTACTTCCCTTCTGAATGAAACTACTATGTTATTCAGTCACTGCTTATAAGAAAACATTTTCTTAATACTTTTTTCATGTTTCTGCACTTATTTATATAGTTTTTTATTTTTAATCATAACCAGGATGAATATTTCATTTGTTGCTTTAGTCACTTGCTAGTGATTTTATTTTTGCATTATTTGTAGGTAAATGACAGATTGTATGAGATTCCAAACTTCTCACCAACTATTAAAGGAATCCTATGGGAAAACTGGCCAATGGATAAAGGTGTTTTTGTTGCTTTTGATGATGATAAAGTGTACACTTATGTTTTTCATAAGGATGCCATTCAAGGTACTGTAAAAGCTTTTAAAAACTTATTCACTATTTTCATTGATAAAATAAAACAGTCTCTGAGTCTTCATTTGTCTGAAATGTTTTCATAACTGCATATAAAAATAAATAGTGCTACAGAAGTTTTGAAGTGCAGCTGATGAATGGAAAACTAGTTGCTTTGTAGGTTTTTTAGTAAAGCTCCAACAAGGCCTTTGGGTCTTGACTCCCTAAGCTTCTTGCTAGTAAAATCTTTCAGATGAAACTTACACGTTGTGTTTCAATTGTATCTTGAAATGTTCATGAGAAAATATTAGGATCAGGGTCGCAAAACTTAATATTCACTTACACTGTTAACCAAAATTGTAATCGTAGCAATTTCTGTATTTGTGGCAGAGAAACATTAAGAAATTTACCTACAAACATTTGGAAAATGACCTTACAAGTTTAGGAGATTTAAGTTATGTATATTTACTTTACTGAAAAATATGCACTGTACAGTGACTACCAGAATTAGAGACCTTGAATTGATGCCCTGCAGATCTACATTTTTTTCAGCTGACTTCTTGCAACACTGTTACCATGTAGGGAATGTTTTAATGATGCCTTCTTTTCCTCCTGATCTTCCAATCTAGGATCAAAGATTATTTTGGCAGGTGGCATGGAAGTCCCCTTCTCCCATAAACCTTTATTGTTGTATAATGGAGAATTAACTTGTCAGACTCAGAATGGGAAAACAAACAATATCTATCTAAGCACTCACAGTTTCCTTGGCAATTTGAAAGACTTTGGACGTAATCAGCTGACACAAATGCTTACTCAGACTTTAATGTTGAAAAGGTACATCTGTGTTTTAATTATATTGTGTAAATTGTTTGCTTCTGTTCTTATAGCACAATACAGCATATCCTGGTGATTTAAAAATGTCATACTGAATTTTGATAAACTAGATTGTTCCATGAGTCCATGTAGCTGTCTATGCAAACTAAGCAAAATAAGTGACCTAGTGGTGCTTTCTTTGTTTTTCCACTGTCAAGTAAAAGCTAAAGTAATTTTTTCCAAGACTAATTTGGAGTTCTGTGACAGTGGCGCTTCCAAACCGGCTGAAGGTGCTTCTTCCATTGCTTTGCGATGCAAAATTAGTAAAATAGAAAGAATGTCAGAGCAGGGAAAGCAGATGCTTTCGTGAAAAAGCATGGTAGAAACAGAAGTGTAAGTTAATCATGTTTGTATTTCTTCTTTCTTCCTAAAACTTTCCTCTCTCTGTGGCTTTGAAGTAAATGTTTATGTTTTCCCTACCATAGTACTAGGAAAAAAAACAAAAAGCATTGGGATGGAATTCTAGGTACAAGTAATACTAGTTTTAAATGCTTTTTACCTTCTGTAGGTTTTCTGAAGCATGGGAGGTGTGCAGACTTCTGAATGACCAGTCTGGTTGGAATGAGCTGGCCAAAGCTTGCTTACATCATATGGAGGTGGATTTTGCAATACGTGTTTATCGGACTGTTGGTAATGCTGGGATGGTGATGTCACTAGAGCAAATAAAGGTAAAAACATAAAGTTTCTTTTAAATAGGAAATACGGTGATTTAATTGTTCTTTAAGAATTGCTGAATTCTTTTTTTTGGGGGGTGGGGGGGTGGGAATTTATTTTTTTTAATAGAAAGTAATTTCTTTTCAAGGGAGTTAATAGTTATAGAGGAGAGAGCGTCCAAACTACATAGTTCTTCCTTGATTTTCTCTTGAAGTGGTTGCAGTCTCTACTGGAATGCACAACATTCCATTCTGCATTTGCTTGAGAGCAGCAGAATATATTCATGTCTCAGGCATTCGGAGGCTCTTTTATTCTTTGTTATTTTTGAGAAAATGTTTAAGACTACTATCACTATTAAAAAAAAAAAACAAAAAACCAAAAAAAACCACAACCAGATGGCAATTATATATCTAAAAGTGTGCATGAAATAGTACCTTAAAAATATAGTTCTGCAAATAGCTGGTTTTAGACAGTATTAGCTGTAGTGGCTTTGAGCTTCAGTAAGAAAGTAAGGGCTTTTTCTGGTTTGTAGATGTGATACACATGGTTGTAAAATGTAGGGATATCTTGTTTTACTGTAGTTACTATATTATGTTAGTTACAACTATTTTTTTTTCTTTTGGACTGCTTTTGCACCCGTTATGTCTTTTTACAGGGAATAGAAGACCACAACCTTTTAGCAGGACATCTTGCCATGTTTACTGGTGATTTTAATCTGGCTCAGGATTTATATCTGTCATCCTCATGTCCTATTGCTGCACTTGAGGTATTCATTTAAGATGCATAAATTGTTTTCTGCCGTTTTCTTCTCAACCTTAATGTTGGAGTATTTCACCTTCTGATAATTCTGCCCTTTTATGGTTTTGTTCTTGCCGTTGTGTGACTGACAGACGTTCTTTTAGGATGAATCTCTCTCAGATTGTCTGAAGCTTTTGAGAACACTAGCTCTACGTTTGTATTTAGAATAATATGAAGTTCATATTAGAATTCAGAATTTGATACTTGCATCAGAAAATGTTACTGTTCTTTGTTAATAGATGCGAAAAGACTTGCAACACTGGGACAGTGCACTTCAACTGGCTAAGCGTTTGGCCCCAGACCAAATCCCTTTCATATCAAAGGAATACGCAGTGCAACTTGAATTCACGTAAGTTTTCCTGTAAAGTTGCAGTATAAGAACATTAAACCAATGCTCATGCTCACTAGAAGAACACAGAATTGAGATACTTCAGCTGAGCGTTGCTGCGAGAGGATTCTGTGACGTCTTGCAGCTATAGACTAGGTTCGAGACCATCTAAAGAACCTGAAGGTGGTCAAGTCCATGGGACCTGATGAGGTGCATCCGCGGGTCCTGAGGGAACTGGCAGATGAAGTTGCTAAGCCACTATCCATCATATTTCAGAAGTCGTGGCAATCTGGTGAAGTTCCCAATGACTGGAAAAAGGGAAACATAGCCCCCATCTTTAAAAAGGGGAAAAAAGAAGACCCAGGGAACTACAGGCCAGTCAGTCTCACCTCTGTGCCTGGCAAGATCATGGAGCAGATCTTCCTGGCGACTATGCTAAGGCACACAGAAAACAAGGAGGTGATTGGTGACAGCCAACATGGCTTCACTAAGGGCAAATCCTGCCTGACTAATTTGGTGGCCTTCTATGATGAGGTTACGGCATTGATGGATAGGGGAAGAGCAACTGACATTGTCTACCTGGAGTTATCCAAAGCATTTGATACTGTCCCACACGACATCCTTATCTCTAAACTGGAAAGACGTGGTTTTGATGGATGGACCACTCGGTAGATAAGGAATTGGCTGGATGGTCGCACTCAAAGAGTTGTGGTCAACGGTTCAATGTCCACGTGGAGGCCAGTGACGAGTGGTGTTCCTCAGGGGTCGGTACTGGGACCAGTGCCATTTAACATCTTTG